CAAATGAAAGAATATTAATGGTAATTTGAACACATAATGCTCAATGACAGCGAAATATTCAGTTGTTTAATGTAAACCAGTGATGTTATTCTTAATCTTAAGAATTGATGCACAAAAACTTGTAACCAAACGACATGCTTGATGAAATGGAGGAAAGTTGTTTTTTTTCTTCCTTGCTTTGTTTTGTATGCGTTGCTTTGTTTAAAAAGAATAAAAATATATTTAAAAAATATGGTATCCCTTTTAAGGAATGTCAGGGGAAGCAGGAAGTTCATACATCCCCCCTCCATCATCTCTCCCATCTAATGGACTGACGTTCATCTGTAACTTTTCCAAAGGACCATCTAACATTTTTCAAAAGCTTAGGAAGTGTTGATAATTGAGAACCAACATGCTTACAAAAATGCCAATAATAACTAATAGGGTGTTTTTCATTTTAAAAATATATATCCACGAGACAATTGTCTACCGGAGAGTTCCCCAACCTTTCTGAATTGATGGCCCGGAGCAGGGACAGGGAAAGAGTGGATGGCTTTGTGGGAGGAGCAGGCACATGGGTGTGTATGTAAGCACATGTACGTGAGTGGGACCATGAGCCCCTGTGATGCCCATGTGGGTGGGACTGTGTACTTGCACACATACACACCAGTCAGCCACTCACACAGCCTGGTTGCAAATAGGCTATGGACCAGGGTTGGGTTGTGGCTTCTGTTACTGCCAGTTTGCTCTGGGACGTGTTACACACGCATGCACAGAAGCAAAAAAAAAATGCTTCTGCGCATGCGCATAAGCAAAAAACCAGATGGCGATGCCTACGGTGACACCGATAGAACCAGTTCAGGGATGTGGCCGGCTGAATTACTACCTACTCGGCCAAGTAGGTAGGAACCCACCTCTGCTATGGACCAGTATTGGGCCAAGGCCTACAGGTTGGGGAGCCCTGGTCTGTTGAATGTAGACAATTCTGAAAATAAGGTACAGAAAGATTTTAAACCTGTTGTTCTCAACCTGTGGTCCATGGACCCTCCAGGGGAGCTGCAATGTCATCACAGGGGGGTCTGAGAAGGCCTGAAAAAATGCTATGATTTAAATCTTGAGTTAAGTTTTTGTTGCCGGTAGCCATGGTCGGTGCCACGAAAGGTATGTGGTAAAGGTTGAGAACCACTGCTTTCAACTATACTCATCAAGAGGGGGTAGGAAGGAGACATCAATTTAGACAAGCTTTTTATGGAAGATTTTGGTGCAAATGCAAAATTGCACGTATCTGGATTCATTGGTGCACATATGTTGACAACATGACAAGCAGAACTTGTGGTTTCCTACATGACAACTAATTCCTTTCCGTTATCTGATAGGCTTATCAACAAACTATTTATTGAAATTTATGGAGTTACCCATCTCAGTACAGTGACTTTGAATGGTTGATTATAGATAAAAACATGATGCATCAAGCATCCGTTGTAGACTTTTTAAAGACTTCCTGCATCAACAAACCCCGATTACTACCCTCACTAACCCAGGACTGACATTAAAGAAATCGGCTGTTTCCTTGGTTTTGTTTCTTTCATTGGTGGTAGCTGGAAGTTGAAAAGCATTAAACGAGACAGCTGTTTGCCATCAATCATGTTCACAACTAACCATAAGCTATGTCTCTCATGTCATCCAAGCATGAACTACATTATCTTTTGAGTGATGGGTTCCTCCTGTTTACACATTGGACATTTAACTACCATCTTCGATAAAGAAGAAATAGTGGTATTTAACAAGAACCATGGAAATATTATATGATAACAGAGAACAATGACCACTTCATTGAAACAGTGTCTGCCTGTGTGTGTGTGTGTGTGTGTGTGTGTGCCATATGTATGTATGTATACACACACACACATATATATACTCACACACAAACACACACACACAAACACATCTATCTATCTATCTATCTATATCATCTATATCTATATCTATATCTATATCTATATCTATATCTATATCTATANTATATATATATATATATATATATACACACACACACACACACACATATGTATATGTATATGTATATGTATATATATGTATGTATATGTGTGTGTGTCTGTGTGTGTGTGTGTGTGTATATATATATATATATATATAATAAAATAAAATAAATAAATAAATGGCTGAAGATCTCACTTACAAGGCCGATGAAACTCCTAGTAGCGTTAACCTGTCAGAGATTAAACAACAGGAAGGTTGGGAATCAACTTGATCTTCAACCGGGAGGGGGGGGGGGCTGTTGGGAAGACAGGCAGAAGAGCCATCTGAATCTGTCTGAATGGACTTCCTTGCTGAGCTCCATGTCAAATTAGGCCAGGCAGGACCCTAATGAGGAGATACTCAGCCAAGCAATTAGACAAGGATCCTTTCACACACAGGCTGGGTGTGAAAACATAACCCTGAGCCAAGTTTTAGTCTGGGTTCCTGAATTCCAGATAGGGCAATGGTTACTGAAGGATGCCAATAAATGGATCCATAGCCAGGCGCACTGCACCCCTCGTCTTGTGGCACAGTGAAAGGAAGGAGGACCTTACAGGAGCCCCGAGAGCAGAGAAGAGCAGCCAGTCAAAGCCAAATTCGGTCGGTCATGTTAGGTTCCTTACCAATTCCTCTATCTCTGCACTGAGTTGTTTGTTTGTTAAATTGCTGGAATCAAAAGCTACTGACAGCTCCTGGTAACGGGTCTGATGGGGCACATGCAGACAGCCAGAGGTGGAAGAGGAGGAGGAGGAGAAGAGGGAGAGAGAGAGAGAGAGAAGAGGCAAAACACTTTTTTTTAAAAAAAGAGGAGAAAAATCCAGTAGTTTTCTTCAACCCCTTCCCAACAAAACAACCCCAAACCCATCTCCCTCTGAATCACATACTGCGCCCTAAAAACTTTGCCCCCATTTCAAAGCCAAGGCAACCAAATCAAGATATGCAACCTGGAAGAGTCCAGTTGGGCTGAAATGGTTGGGTCCAAATTCTACGCCGTTTTTCCTGCCCGGGAGAGGTATCTCTTGAACTCAAAGCCTTCCCCAGCTCTAAGCTCTTTTAGCTCGGAAGGCCGAGGCCAGAATTCCACCAATCAGCACCCCCCAGTTAAAAAGGCATTGTGGGAGCTGCAGTTTGCGGGTGACCCATCGTGAAGGGTTACAAAATTCTGGCTGACGGGGGCACCCGGAAGAGGGGACCTACCACCATCTCTTTCATATCCGCAGAGGGCATGATGTTTTCTCCGTTGATGTAAGTCGTGCTCTGCAAAAGATAAGGGTCACAGTAAGGATTTGGATTTTGTTCCCACAGGTATCTCAAGGTAATTGTTCTGACTGAGGCTTCCCCAGCAGCACCAAGCCTCGTCTTCGTCCCAATAAACCCCTTTTATTTAATCGACAGGGAATTCCTCTCCAGCAAAGTCTTTCCCCTCCCACAGCCTTTCAAGGGAGTTCACAATTACCGACCTTGATCAGACTTGGAGAGAAGCCAAGCCGATATCTTTCAGACGCCGCCATACTTGGCAGGAATGCAGGAAGGAACTGATTGTCTCCTGCAAACTCCCCTCCCCTTTTATTCCCTCTGGGAGGGGCCATTTGGCATCCTCCAGTGGCCTTACTCCAGGGGTGGGTTCCTGCCAGTTCTAACCTCTTCTATAGAAGAGGTTCCACAAATCTAGAGTGCCATTTAGAATCGGTTCCAGCTCCCTCCCCCCGCCCGTACATCATCAAAATGAAGAGTGAGGAGGAATTCTGGAAGTTGAAGTCCACAAGTCTTAAAGCTGTCAAGTTTGAATATCCCTGGGGTTTTTTTCTCTAAAGGGTTAGGGGTGCAAGGGTCTTGTAGCTTGACAGCTTTAAGACT